CCTAGTCTTCTAAATATATGCACTAATGCAATTAATTATTGGAATATCCCAAAACCCTATTGTTTATTAATTTATGCTCTTATGATTTCCATTATTTTATGCTAAATTATAATTAAAAAAATTTAATTACTTATTAAAAATTATTAGTAATTAAGACTTCAAACTCATTATTTCATCTCACATGTGAAGTCTTTTTTAAATTAAATAAATCAAAATTAAAAAATATAGAATAGGGATCTGACCGTCCAATATGTGAACAATCTCGGTCTGCTGTCACCATAAAGCTCCGGACTAACCTGACTAGTAGAATAATCAAAACTTTAGAAAATTCAAGAAATCCTAAAAAAATAATATTAATTCTTTTAGTACAAGAGTAAATATTAATTCTCGGTCGAAAATATATATTTTAACTAGTTGAATTATATTTTCTGGATATTAATATTTTAACCATACTTTCATAATTATATTATTTAATTTTTGAATATTTTATTTTGATTCTAATAAATTCTTTCTAATGATGGTATAATTTAATAATATTAATATTATATGATAAATAGTAAAAAAATAGCAATTAATTTTTTTTAGGATGAGGGGTAGGATTGTCTGCGGGAGGATGTAGGAAATGGAAAAAGTACCTGCCAACCAGCCTCTATACTGTTGAGATCCGAGCCGTCGAATGATCCAGAGAGGATCCATATCTGAGAGAGGCTGAACTCGTTGACCATTTGGATGGACGGTTCCCACACGTTTATTGTCGCCTTCGCTCCATACATCTCCCCGAGCGATCTAGTGTATGCGATCGCATGCTATTTTATATGCAATCGTTCGTGTCAAATATATTTAAAAATTGTACTACATTATAAATATTTAATATTTAATACGTTATTAAAATTTTAATTTTATATTTAATAGATTTATAAATATGGTCGAAAAAATATTATTAAATTTTCAATAAAAAAAATGTTAAAAAAATACCGTTAAAATTTTAAAAGACATTAAGTAGTTTTGTATTGTGTACTGGGTTAGTATCTGTTTCAAAAATACTCCTAAACTTTTAAAATAATTTTTAAAAAATACTCTTGAGTTTTTTTAATTTTTAAAAATTATTATTTTAATTTAATTTAATATAAAATAAAGGTAAAAAGTGTATTTATTTATTATTAAAACATGGAGTTGAAGTAAAGAAAAAGAATCTATTCATAAAAACTCCCACCTTTCAACTGATTAAATGCTTTGAAGAAAAGAAAATAGCGTACCTCGTGACCATTCCCACTGACCACATCAGGAGCGTCCATTTGTTGATCAAGCAGGATCGGTCGTTTCTTCTTCCCAAAGTCAAACAAAGACTTGGCTCTTAACACATCCTTCACTGTACTGCGCCGCACCGGAATAGTTCCCTTTGGACACCGTGTCGCGTTCCCATGCCAAGTTTGAAATGGACCTCCCGCACCTGATCCTGCCCTCCTTTCATTCTTCTTCATTTTCGGCCACCCTGTTGGTGCTCTCTGCACAAAATACATTAATAATATTATTTCATTTTTTAATTTTAAATTTTTTAATAAATTTAATATTATTTAGAATATAAATAGAGATAATTATTAATTTTTTTTTGGACCTGAATTTTGTGGTTCTTCAAGAGGGGATGATCCAGAGCTGGCTGTTTTCTTTTATGAACACAATCTATAGTATCACCATCTGGGCTCTGAATTAAAAAAAAAAAAAAAACAAATAAAAGTAAAAATTAATGAATAAATGGTTTTTTTATATTTAATTTAACAAATAAATGGAAAATATAAGAGAAAAGCTGAAAAAAAAAACCCTGTCATTAATTTGACATACCCATTACATAAAATTTAAAATTTTGGAGACCCAAATAAAAAAAAATAATAATAAAATTAAAATCCAAAAAATACTTTTAAAAAACAACAGAAACATGCCATAAACGTATAGAAAGCTTAGAAATTTGACATACCCATTGCACAAAATGCAAATTTTTGGAGACCCAAATGAAAAAAAAGAAGAAAAATTCAAAAAATCTTTGAAAAAACAACATAAACATATAGAAAGCTTAGAAATTTGACATACCCATTGCATAAAATGCAAATTTTTGGAGACCCAAATGAAAAAAAAGAAGAAAAATCCAAAAAATCTTTACAAAAACAACATAAACATATAGAAAGCTTAGAACATTGACATACCCATTGCATAAAATGCAAATTTTTGGAGACCCAAATGAAAAAAAAGAAGAAAAATCCAAAAAATCTTTAAAAAAACAACATAAACATATAGAAAGCTTAGAACATTGACATACCCATTACATAAAATGCAAATTTTTGGAGACCCAAATGAAAAAAAAGGAGAAAAATCCAAAAAATCTTTAAAAAAACAACATAAACATATAGAAAGCTTAGAAATTTGACATACCCATTACACAAAATTCAAATATTTGGAGACCCAAATAAGAAAAAAGATAATATATAAGAGAAAAACAGAAAAAAAACCAACAAATGGATATATATATATATATATATATATAAGAATGAACCTGAATGGTGAGAAGAGGAGGCTTGTTAATGGAGTCCAAATGGGTTTGAATCCTGTCAAATCTCAAGCTACTAACATGTTTATAGCTATAAGTGAGGCCACACACCAAAGAGAAGCTCTGAAGAACAACAAGAAGAACACAGAACAATGCCATTGAAACTGAAACCCCTCTTGTTCTTCCCATAATCCCTCCCCCAAAAACAGGCGAAAAACGAAATATCAAATTCTCTGAGGGCTAGTTTGCAAACGAAGAAGAAGAAGAAGAAGAAGAAGATCCATTAAAGAGGTCTCAGCATCAAGATCATGATTGCCTGCTTTGGATTCAGATAAATAGAAAGAGAAAGAGGGGTCGAAATATAATTAAAGCTTTTGTAAGGGCATATTGTATAATATTATAATAAATATATTATAAAAACTCAAACCTACCAAACTGAAACACTCCCCTCCCCCTTTTATTATCTGCCCATCTCTTTTCCCATTAATTACGTCATAAAAATGTGTTAAATTTTTTTAAAAAAAAGAGCATATATTTATTTATAAAATATTATATATATTAAAATTTTATTAAATTTAGTGGGAAAACCAACCCAAGTTGTACCGAGTTATAATGCTATAAATTCCTTTGTGGTGCCACGTGGAATTGTCTCCTTATTTAATAAATGATCCAACTATATAATATGGTTAGGAATATGATATGTTACCATATCTTCATCATTTTTGTATATACTTAAAGTCAATCCCTTCTCATGTGTATTTTATTAGTTTCTTTTCTTTGTTTATATATACATAATTTATCAAAATGACTAAAATACTATGTATTATATTTTATGCTATGTACAACCGAGGCCCATTGCTAGTAGATATTGTCCTCTTTGATTTTTTCCTTTCGGGCTTCCCCTCAAGGCTTTAAAACGCGTTTGCTAGGGTAAGGTTTCCACACCTTTATAAAGGGTTATTTATTCTCCTCCCAACCAATGTGGGACATTTGTCAGCCTTCTCGCTGTTCTCCGAAGGGGGGTAGACACAAGACGGTGTGCCAGTAAGGATGCTGAGCCCCTGCGGTCCCACATCGATTGGAGGAAGAAAGAGTGCTAGCGAGGACGCTGGGCCCCGAAGGGGGGTGGATTGTGATGACTCACATTGGTTGGGGAGGAAAACAAATCACCATTTATAAGGGTGTGGAAACCTTTCCCTAGCAGACACGTTTTAAAGCCTTGAGAGGAAGCCCGAAAGGGAAAGTCTAAAGAAGACAATATCTGCTAACGGTGGATCTGGGTCGTTACAACAACTCAAGCTACCGCCAGCAGATATTGTTTGGTTTTGCTTGTTATGTATCGTCTCACAGTTTTAAAATATATTTATTAGGAAGAGGTCTTCGTACTCTTATAAGAAATGTTTTGTTCTTCTCCCGACCGATGTGGGATCTTACAATCCATTACCTCAAATAGTGGTTTGGATGGTCATATCGAGTGTAAATTATTTTTTTTATTGTTTAAAAGCACGTGGAAGTAGACATTTTTTTTTAATAAACCCTGACCCCATGACACATTCAACAAACAACCTTGGTCGTTTATTTTTTTTTCCGTCATTGTCTTTACTTCAAAAGAAATTTTGAAAAAATTTGTATAATAAAAATACCCAGTAATTGACCTACTGTTAAGGTCGAGATGTACTATCACATGTAATACGACATACGCTCACATGACTATAGTTGATGAGAACAAAGAAGAAGAAGAAAACGATTGTAGCTTGTGCCCAAGGGTAACGTCAGCTAATTGTTGCAAATCATACTTACCTTCCAATTTTTGTATCAATTACCGTGTCAATTTCTATCTTATTTTAACGTAAAACTCTTAAATAAAAGCGAGTTTATAAATATTTTTGTGTGGTTTGACTTTTTTTTATTAGTTAATTTTAAGATGACAACTTAAAAATTTATATTTAGCTTTTAAATTATAAGATTATAAAAAATTCAATAAATAAAAAAAACAATTATTATTGAAGTCAAAGGCATGGAAGGACCACGTGGGTTGAAATATTAAATGAGAGTAAGCTTCTATTCTCGAATCTTTCCCACATCGGAAAGTGTGAGAAATTTTGTAGTCAGCCACTCATTAACTTCAAAGCCTTAAAATTTGGGTAACGCTTTAGATATAATATAAGGTCAAGATCTATACTTTAATTTCCCAACAAACTCCTATCTCTAGTCCCTTTCTTCCCCCTAAACTTAATTTTATGATCGGTCACTATGCCAATTCTCAGAGGATCTTCATCTTCGTTCCTTTACGAGTCGTTGATACTAGTCAATTGGTATACGTTCTTCAATGATAAGACTATCTCGAGTAGCTATAGTCTTAGTTATTAAACGTTTTTATGATAGAACAGATTTTTGGACTTGTACGAAGTTTTGATCTAGTGGTTAATAGAGATGTCCATGAGAAAAGAGAGGACAGGAAGCCCAGCGTCCTTACTGGCACACCGCCTCATGTCTACCCTCCTTCGGAGAACAGCGAGAAGACTGGCACATCGTCCGGTGTCTAGCTCTGATACCATTTGTAACGACTCAGTCTACCCCCCTTCGGAGAACAGCGAGAAGACTGGCACATTGTCCAGTGTCTGGCTCTGATACCATTTGTAACGACTCAGATCCACCGCTAGCGGATATTATCCTCTTTGGGCTCTCTTTCGGGCTTCCCCTCAAGGCTTTAAAACGCGTCTGCTAGGGGAAGGTTTCCACACCCTTATAAATAGTGGTTTGTTCTCCTCCCCAACCAATGTGGGACATCACAATATTCACCTAGGAACAACCCGATGAATTTGGGAGTGGTCCCACATCGATTGGAGGAAGGAAAGAGTGCCAACGAGGACGTTGGGCCCCGAAAGGGGGTAGATTGTGATGTCCCACATTGGTTGGGGAGGAGAACAAATCACCAAGGGTGTGGAAACCTTCCCCTAGCAGACGCGTTTTAAAGCCTTGAGGGGAAGCCCGAAAGGGAAAGCTCAAAGAGGACAATATCTGCTAGCGGTGGGCCTGGGTGGTTTCAGTTGATCCTAGAAGAGCAACTTTATAAATAACAGGACTGTAGTCTCCAATACACAATGCTCGAGCCTCCTATTCCTTAGAGTTAAACACTAGGCGATGTGCCAGTGAGGAGGTTGAGCCCCGAAAGGGAGTGAACATGAGGCAATGTGACAGCAAGGACGTTGAGCCTCGAAAGAGGATGGATTTAGTGGGAGTCCCACATTGATAGGAGAAAGGAACGAGTGTCAACGAGGATGCTGGATTCCGAAGGGGTTGGATTGTTAGATCTCACATCGATTGGGGAGGAGAACAAAATATCCTTTATAAGGGTGTGAAAACCTCTCACTAGCAGACGCATTTTAAATTTTTTTAGGGGAAGCCCGAAAGGGAAAGTCCAAAGAAATCAATATCTGCCAGCGGTGGGCTTGAGCCGTTAGAAATAGTGAGGATTTTCGATATCATTGGTCGAGGTTGAATAGTTGAAGAAAACCCCAAACCACAAATTCTTGTCAATTTCTCGACGTGTATTTTGTTCTATGATTATTTACGATATCAATAATCATTAATATTAGCGTCGAACCTTCCAAAGATCGTATCGAAAAATATTTTAATAAGAATATGATTAAAATGGAGCCATGAATGCAAACCACTCATGGGTTGGCTCATCATCCTTAATTTATTGCTATCAAAGCCTTCTTTTATGTCTTATTATATCTTCATTCTAACCAACCTTCATTAATTTTCATTTCAAGAATAAAACCCATAGCTTTTAACTTAGATACTTATTTTAGTCATTGTTTCTTAGCAAAGAAATTGAGCTCGACCCGACCCCAACCATAATGTGCTAGTCTATATGCGCCACGTGTTGCGACATTGTAAAATTACAAAAAAATTTATGCAGCCGAGGGTCGTAGTCACCTAATCATCGCACGCCACATATTGCCTAGCTAACGGAACTCTCCTCCCTTAGGTGCTTTGTACTCACATGTGGAAGAATCTTCTCGTGAGTGGAGATGCGCGCTGAGTGGGTTTTTGTCCCGTTCAACCTTGTCTCGACTATTTTGCACTCGGATTTTGATCCTAACCCTAAATCTGATCTTAACGGATTACAACATATATCATCGATTAAAAGATCATAGATTTGAATTCTTACCCACGAAAATAATTTAATTATGTTTGAATTTATGTATATATAATAATAATGAGATTGAAAAAGGTGGGATTTTTGGTTCCTTTTTGAGGCTATACATATTTCTTCAAAGTCATTTAATTCAGAGGGTGATTGGCTTTAAAGCAAACTAAAGGTTTTAATTTTTCATTATGGTTTCACCTAACAAATACAATTTGTTTGGTGTATTGGTTTTTGTGTACATTGATGGCTAAGGAAACAAAATTCACCAAATCTTTTCTCACCCTTTTCCCGCTCTCCCGAGTTTTGATAACCTAAATATACGTTATCATCTCGACCAAAAGATTAGATATTTAAAATTCTTCTCTGCCAAATGTTACGCACTAAAAGTGTAAAGTCAGAAGGTAATAGAAAAATTAGATAAAACCCGCTAAGCCAATTCAGATAAAATCTGACCTGTAATTCGAACCATACTATGAGGAATGTTGGCAATTGGAGTTCGAGATTGGTCAAGAGTTCTTCACAAGAAGCACTCGTTGGATCAAAGAGGACAAAATTGTGAGATCTCACATTGATTGAAAAGTAGAACGAAACATTTCTTATAAGGGTGTAGAAACGGTGAGGAGTCAAAATGATCATTTTCCTCCCGTTTGTTTTTTATCGACTTTTTTTCTTTCCCTTTACAAATTTTTTTATTTTTTGTATAGTCTTTGATTTTTTTAAAGTATGTTTCTCTTCCCCCTCATCTTAAAATTCGATCTCTAAGGTCGTTAACAAAATTTAAAAATTTTGAGTTTAAAAGAAAAAATCAGACATCTAATTTCTCGATGGGGCTCAGGTGGAACATTAAGCGAGGATAAGCATAATTACTAACGACTAGGTAAAATCTTACCAGGTGTTAGTGTCAGATCGAATGAGGAATGAGGAACGTGACCCTAATTGTTCTAGACATAGTAGACTTCGATAATCTTGTAATAAATAGATTGGTATGCTAAAACCATGCATTATTAGACCATCATTATAAATAAGTTGTGTGTCAACCACGGTCCAATCTAGATTCAAAATTAAGCGTATAAGGGTTAATGTAGCCTCCAAGACGATATCGACATTAAAGACGAAGAAGATGATGTTCTATGGAGCATGGGAGTGTGTCGATATCATGGACATGAGATATATATAGAGATTAATGTAAACTCAATATCAATAGGCAAGAAGTTTGTGGGTGTGTTCTCCAATGATCTCCAAAAATTACTTCCAACACGGGAGGTTGAGTAAAAATGGAGCTTGAACAAGAAACAACTCATATTTACAAGACTTTGTACTCGATAACATATGAATGGTCAAAATTTTCTTATGGGAAAAATTAGGTAAAATATTATATAACATCCTCAACCACTCATATCACCCTAACTTCTTTCTACCGGTTTTAACGGTCAACTACTTTTAGGCCGGACCAATTTTAGGACATCTTACCCTCTTTTTTTAGGATTGTTCCATTTTTATGAAACCTATAAATATGGGGGAAAAGAAATAGAGAAGTAAGGAGGGGCAAAAGTTGAGATTGCAAGGAAAGAAAATGAAGTCGTTGCCGATATGTTTAGCTTTAATTACGATGCTGATGACAAGCCAACAAGTGATGACGAACCAAGAAGAAACATCAAAGATAAAATATCTTAAACTTTCAGAATGTCATCATCCTAACCCACCTCCACATTGTTCTTTATCTGGAGCTAGGGACTATAAACATGTTCCTGCTAATCCCTATGATCGAGGATGCTCTGCTATCCATCGATGTCGAGGAGGAGGAGAAAGTTAATTAATATTTGAAATTATTTTTTTCTTCAATATAGGAAGGAAAAATGAGTAAGATCATATAAAAATGTTCAATTATATTATGTTTACATTTCATGAATGATATATGTATTTGGTTAAAATGAGGGTAATCAATAAAGAGTTTGATTTTTCATATGGTAATTCAAAGTCAATTTAATTTCCGAGGGTTACGTAAATAAAAAAATTACTAATAATTGTAGGTCTTCTGTTTCAAATAATTGCTTATTTGCAAAGGGAGGGTTTAGATTTTTCGAGATATATAGACATGTAATGGCGAGACAATTATTGTTATTAGCATCGGGGGGTAGCGCCGATCCCCAACCTTGATGACCTCATGGCCTTTTGGGGAGTTTGCCAGCTAACCTCCCATGGATGACGAGCAGGCTAGCACTCACCATGTTGTCTCCACCTGGTACAGAGTCTATGGAGGGAGCACCTCATTTTTGGATGTTGGTTACTGCTGCATATGCGAAGCTAACTACCCAAGACTATGAACAACAAGAGCAATACACCTAGAGCCTAGGTAAAGCCCGTGGTTAGAAAATAGGTCATGGATGCGATAAGAGCCTACAAGAAGTGTTTTGTGTATTTTTAAAATCACTTTCCCGTTTTCCCTTTTCCCTTTCTTTTCCAGGTGTTTGGAGGCTCTCGGTCGAAGTGGAGGAGCATTTTCCCCTTTCCCCTTTCTTTTTCAGGTGTTTGAAGGTTGTCGATCAAAGTAGAGGAGCGTTTTCCCTTTTCCTTTCTTTTTCAAGTATTTGGAGGTTGTCGATCGAAGTGAAAGAGGGTTCAAGAGTTGTGTGGTTGTGTACCGAGAAACAGGGACTCTATACTTGTTCTTGCTAATCCTTATCGTCAAGGATACTCTGCTATCGGTCGTTGTCGAGAGGAGGATGATTTTAATCGATATTTAAAATTATTTTCTTCTGAAAAAATGAATAAGATCACGTAAGAGAATTCACTTAGATTCTGCTCACATTTCATGAATGATTAGGTATCTAATTCAAATGAATATAGATATCGAGTTCAAATGAGGCCATTCATTAAAGAGTTTGATTTTTATATTGAAGACAATTTAATTTAATTTGTGGGCAAAAATCAATTTTTGACACTAAAATTTGATCTTAAATAATAGATAATTATATGATTTAAACTAATTTAAACTTCTAACAACATAACATTATGTTACGTTTTACACATAAACTTATATTAATTAATGCTTTAAATTTCAATAGAGAATTAATTCTATGTTTCAAATAATTGGTTTAGATTTTTATAGATGTTTAAGAGATAATTATTAAATTCGCCTTTTTTCTATTAATTTAATTCGAAGTTTATGGATAAGAAAATTAATTTTTGAATACCAAATTTCTAGAAGAGAAAAAAATCTTAGAAAAATTTTAGAAACTTAAACAAAAAAAAATCTCTCAATAATACTTTTAGGGGAGGATTACTTCAACGTTTTGTGGTGACGTATCGCTTGGATCCAACCCACACCTGTGAATTAACTCACCGACTGGCACGTGAATCAAGCCACGACCCGATTCAACAGCACAACCCAATCTATCCGCTTGACTCAACCCAACTCGAAACGTGCCAGTCCACGTGCGCCACGTGTCGCAACATTGTAAATCATAAGAATTCTTATGCTATCAAGGATCAAACACGCACCACAAGAGTCGAATCGCCAAATG